GTGTAAAAAAGACAGTGCTTAAGATCCAAAGAGAAACAAATGAATTGTATAAGGCTCTTATACTCTTTCTTGAGGTTTTTCCAAAGAATCCAATCATGCAATAAGTTATTTTATTTGATTTATGATGTATGATCTTTTTAACGGAGCATCTAATTTATAATTGTATAACATACACCTATAAGTTCCTATCCCTTTTCTTTGATAATAGACTTGCTGATGCTGTCAAGGTTTTTTTTTTTTTTTTAATATATATAAAGGCAAGTTTGGGCCATCCTAAAAAGTTTAAATGGTGTGCCACTACCCATAATAATAATATTTTCTATAATTAACTAATATATTTTTTAATAAATATTTATACAGATATCATATTTTTTAGTCAATGATTGATTAACAAAAATAAACAATTTTCTATATAACTTAGTTATTTTTTTCTTGTCAATATATCATGAACATTCACCAAACATCCCATCAATGATGATGTCAAACACTATATACACCAATATTTCACCAATCAAATGACACTCTCCATGTTCAAGGTAAATTTACTTGATGATTCAATAGTTTTTTTTACAACTATTAACTTTAAATATTTCTTTCTCTCATACATTTAGATTTAAGTATCAAAGTGTCCCATGAAGGGTTTTTTTCTCTACCTCTTTCAAATCTAACAACTAGGCCCACATATGTTTCAAGTCTAAACCTAGCTTTATAGAACATGGAAGGCCACTTTTCGTGTGAAGTCTTTCCCAACTTCATTAATGGTGCTATCTATGGAAAATTGAACAAAAAACTAGTTCATTCCATTTCATTATTTATAAAAATACTTTATATGGCCAATGATACTTCTAAAACAAGGGATAGTAACTGATCTCCCCATAACAGGGACTCTAGATCCCATAGATCGCTAACAATTATTCCATCAAATGAAAATGCTCGATATTCTAGCCATCCAAAAACTCAATAACAACTTCGTGCCTTTTTATTTCATCAATAAGAGATTCAACAAACCATGTATATAAAGGTAACTCTAGTTTCACGAAGGAATAAAACAAAACAACATTAAAAAGTAGACATGATGCTCTAACTCTCCAAATAAGCGAGCATTATTCAACAGACCCTTGCTATAGGCGTTAATATTACCACCAATCTTCTTTTGAGTCTTACTCTCATGCCTCTTGTGGCAAGAGACCAAGGTATGAAATTGCACCAGCTCCTACATATTATTCCCACTAAGTGAAAGTGTCTCCACTTTATCACCAAGAATTACACACTTATCTTCTAAGGATTATGTCTTTGCAAGAACAACCTTTCATAACTATGATGACCTTACAGGTTCTAGAAAGCATATACAAAATATTTCTTAAGCTAGTGATGACAAAGAATGATCTTATGTGTAAAATTTTTCATATGACCTTTCATTAATCTACTATGATGCGGTATCACAGTCTTGAACCTATATCCATCCTAAGTTTTTAAGATTTTTGCGTGAAGCTCATCTCATTTTCACACCAATATCTAACTAAAAAGAGGACAACTAAGATCTTTTCCATTACATAACTAGAGGGTCAAAACACCATAGGATATTTCTATAGATTCAACGAGGAAATGCTAAACATGAAGAATTTGCTCGAACTTATCATCACCGAAGCCCTAATCAATAGAGTCCCCCACTACTTGTTATAGGAACACATATAGACTCTACATGATAGAACTTTTGTCAAAGTGAAGCAAGTGATGGAGAATCATATTCGAGTAGAGGAAGCTAACGTGACTAAACAAGCCCACCGTTGTCTCCAAAAGAAAGAGTTTCTACAATGCCATCAGTCTCCCTTAAAAACATTCATAAAAAGCACCAAGAGGCATGCTTGTGATTGATTGACATAAAACAACACCTTTGATTGCTACATGATCTAAAGTACTAGTTGTTATTAGAGGAAAAAAATTTATGTAATACCCTCCTCCCTTGAAAAGTAATATGAACACGAGAAACCCTAACAAGTTCTATATTTTTCATCGTTTCCATGGGCATGATACTGAGGAATGCAAAGCCTTGAAAAAAGAGATAGAAAATTTGATAACCAAAAGTTATTTTTGCTAGTTTATGAAAAGAAAAACAAAATCCAAGCATGAAAAAAAGTAACGTCTGCACACTTGATGAGCTATTAGAGATCAGATAACCCCTAAATTATCTTATGTATTGTATCTTTAATTTTTTATTTTTTCAAATAAAAGTCATAATATCTTGAAATGTGTTCCTGTGAAAAATCTCCAAGTTTTAAACCATATCTCCATAAAAAATCTCTACGATCCCAGTGACCACCAGGTCCTTGCAACTGTTTGTCTCCTAGTCCGTGTGAGTGCTTATCTCTATGTCCTTTAAACTTCTTGTCTCTAAAAGGATCAAAGGTCTTATGATTGCTCATGGGACATATCCATGCATCCTAAAATACAGACACAAATCATATCATTCACTCTTATGCTTTTTTTTTTTTTAGATTGCTTCTCTTTATAAAATTAAAACTCTCCCTAATCTTGCAGAAACATTTTAAAAAATTTGACTAAACATTAACAAAAAGCCATATATAGGCACAATAACATTTTCATGCAAAACATGTTTAAGAAAGGTAAACCATTATGCTGTAAATATTTTCTTCTCGCACCTCAATTAGTCAAAACATATATTTTTAAAAGACTTAGAGGACAAATGATGGTGCAAGTTTGTTTATATATATATATATATATATATATGTGTGTGTGTGTGTGTGTGCGCGCGCGCGCGCGAGCTGTTAAAGCTAAGCCCAAACAATATGGTCCATATTTAGGGTATGTCCTTTTTCTCTCTCATTGACACACACCTCAATGTGTTTTCGAGTATCGAGTGGTCAGGATGTGGTGCCACACACATTATATTTTTTAGAATTAACTTATATATTTCTTTACATGCTTTTATGCAAGCACTATATTTTTTAGTCAATGGTCGACATGCAAACATGAACCACTTTTTAAACAATACAAGTGCCTCTTTCTCAACCAATGAATATTTTTCACCAATATATCAATGAAGTTCGCTAACCATCTCACCAATGACAATGTCAAATACTATGATTGATAGTGCACAACAACAATTTCATCAATCAATCAACACTCTTCACTTTCAAGTTAAATTGGTATGATTAAGGTCTATAAATACCTTGGATTACTAGATAAATCGAATAGGTTTTCAAATTCAATATTTTTCTACAACTATTTACTCTACATATTTTGTTCTCTTTTACATTTTCTAACCTAAGCATTAGAAAGTTCATTGTTTTACAAGAGATTTGTTCTCCAGCTGAACATCCACACCATTCAAGCCAAACAATTAGGCCCACTTTGTTTCAAGTCTATACGCGGTTTCACAAAGCACGAAATCCTAATTTCCATGTGAAGTTTTTACTGACTTTGTCACTTTCATGATATAATCTTTCGTGAGGTAAAATCATGGCAATAAGCAAATGTTCTTTTGGTTTATCGATGTTTGATTCTTTTTACCATTGCTAACCAAGTATTCAAAATCCCTACCTTTTTATTTTTTATTAAAAAATAAATCTATAATCTTTATAAGTCAACCTCTATTAAGATTGAAGCAAGAATTTGGAGTGGGAGATTGGTCTAAGTTGAGCCTTCCTATAACTTTGGAGGCCAAGGGTGAAGTAATAAGATAACATGTGTAAGCAAAATATCCTTTATGAATTTTTAAAATGGAAACATAATGCAATGAACAATAACAAGAATTTGGAGTGGGAGATTGGTCTGAGTTAAGCCTTCCTATAACTCTATAGGCCAAGGGTGAAGTAACAAGATAACATGTCTTGCTTGCTTGTTAATAAGCAAACTGGTAAGCAATGAATGTTCTTTATGAATTTTTAAAATGAAAATATAATGCAATAAACAACAATCTCCATGTCCATTTTATTTTGTGTTTAGAACAACCCAAGCTTTGAAAATTGAAAATTTGTGGTATTTTAGAATGAGCCATCATAGCAGAATAGCAATGAAAAGATAAATGAGCTAGCTAATAAAATAGTGGGTACATTATTTATTCAAAATATATTAAATAAAATTAAATAAAGCCTAAATAATTATTTTTTAAGCCATTGAGTGGATGATACTTGATTAATAAAGTTAGAGTTGGATTAAAAATATTAAAATTTCCATACATAGTACTTGAGCTAAGAAAATAAATAACCATATTATGACTATATGTAAACAAAACATGAATAACACACGCAAATATGGCCTAGCTAGCAGCTGTGTATCTAGCTTTCCGCACATAATTAATCCAAAAATAGAGGGAGTTAGAATTTGTAAGAGAAACAAAAATAGTAATACAGCATAATTATCATTTTTTATAAATAACAATCAGAGCCTAAAAACTTAAGTAGGTAAGGTTTTAAAGTATAGTTTATATTATTTTTTAATAATTTTTAATAATTTTAAAAATCTCTGCTTTAATGAAATAAAGGAAAAATCAAGCTTGTAGTACGGTGAAATAAAGAAAGAGTTGTGAGATAAAAGAAAACTACAACGATATATATTCATGAGCAGGAGTTCGAACTTTGAAGAAATTAAGAAAAAACACGTATGGTTTCTTGCTGGCATAGCGCCTTTCACTCTCGAGAGGGCAAAAGACGTATCCCATGAAGGGTTTAGAACCATGAAGACATGCAACGCCCTAAAAATATACAGTAATGCAAAAATAGTAAACTATAATCAAGCTACTGATCAATAACAAGGGGGGGAAGACAAACAAATGAAAAAAATAGCAGAAATTAACTTAACTAAATTCTCCTTTATCCGACAAAAATGCATAGGTTTCCCTATAACACCTCCCATCCACCCAGAGCTTGTCTTCCTCTTCCTTATCATCATTTCTTATTGCTGAAAAATCAAATCCTTTGCCAGCTGAGAGGAAATTTTGAGAAAGAAAGGAATCCTCCTTCCTCTTTCTCTCCACAAGCATGGCTGTCCCCCTGCGTATTCTTCTGCTTCTCTTCCTGTCCATTCCTTTCTCAGAGTCGAAGTCCAATCTCTCCTTTGATTACTACAAGAGATCATGCCCTAACTTCGAAAAGATTGTTCGTGAAACTATCACCACCAAACAAATGAGCAACCCTGCAACCGCGGCCGGCACTCTACGTCTGTTCTTTCATGACTGTATGGTTGAGGGATGTGATGCCTCAGTTTTCATATCATCAAACTCATTCAACACCGCCGAGCGCGATGCAGACGTTAACCTTTCCCTGTCAGGGGATGGCTACGAGGTGGTGGTTAAGGCAAAGACTACACTTGAGCTAACTTGCCCTAAAGTCGTCTCCTGCGCGGACATCCTTGCAGTGGCCACACGTGATCTTGTCACCATGGTTGGAGGACCTTATTACAAAATCCGACTAGGGCGGAAGGATGGTTTGGTCTCTAAGGCCTCCAGGGTAGAGGGAAATCTCCCCAGGAGCAACATGAGTATAACCCAAGTGATCAAATTGTTTGCCTCCAAAGGGTTCAGTGTTCAAGAAATGGTTGCATTAACAGGTGGTCACACCATTGGATTCTCTCATTGCATTGAATTCTCCGATAGGCTATTTAGTTACAGCAAGAAACAAGCAACTGATCCTGAGCTCAACTCCAAGTTTGCAGCCGGATTGAGAAATATCTGTGCTAATCACACCATAGATAAAACCATGTCGGCCTTCAATGACGTGTTTACGCCAGGCAAGTTCGATAATATGTATTTCAAGAACTTGCCTAGGGGGCTGGGGCTTTTGGCATATGATCATGCCCTTGTTAAGGACCCAAGAACTAAGCCTTTTGTGGAGCTTTATGCAACAAACCAGACAGTTTTCTTCCAGGATTTCTCTCTTGCAATGCAGAAGCTTAGCATTCATGGGATCAAGACTGCAATAAACGGAGAAGTGAGGAATAGGTGCGATCAGTTCAATTCAATCCAGACTTAGTTTCCTTGTTGTCGAATGAGATCGTATTCATTAGTTTTAATTTTCTGGCATGATAGCTCATTGAACTATTGTTGTTACACCTGATCATGAGGATGCGTTGCTTCATCTTTTACGAATATGGATTATATACCATTGTAATTCTAACAAGAGAAAGGACAAAATATTATATTAGAACAAGGAATTACATCAGAAAAATATAGTTAGTCAATCCATTTATCATCTAAACCAGCATTACTCTTCTGAGCGTTAAAAGCAAGGTCCTAATTGAAGCTCATCAGTGAGAGATGGCTGGAGCCCCTGATCAGGCCTGAATAGACACACTTCTCCAGTTACATCTCTTGGAGAGATATTGATGCTGAGGAAATTCAAAGATTCACTGAAATCATATAATACTACCCTGAAAAGTTTCTGTGGAGAAATGTGAAACAAGTAGCAGAGAGTGACCAGCAAAATTTCCATAGCTGCAACTTTCATGAAACGAACATTAACAAATATATAAATCTGCAGGCACTGGATGTGTGCATGTCCTAAACTCCAAGGCAATAGCAAGTGACGCCCAATGCTGACATAAAACAGTGGCATAGCGGCATTAGGCTTCCTTGACACAATCCAATTTGTGCCAACAGATTCACACCATCCCTTTCCACTACGTTATAGCTTTCAGCCTCCATGCAAGCAACTTCAGTTCGATCCACCTTTTCCATTTGGGTTCTGTGATTCAAATTAAATATCAATTGGATTGGGAAAATAACATTATAAACATAAAAAAAGAAATTGTTGTGGAATGGTTACGTACAAAATGCACCTAGAAATATTACTCACTATGCCAGAAATGCCAAAACGGACAGATCCAATTAAGTTAAATAGGTCCCGCATTTGTTGTGTTACTGCAGCTGCATTCACTTAATTCAGCAAAACATTCACATTTTCTATTTAATGATGAACCATAACCGAAGACATAACTTAAACCCCGAGCATCAAGTAGAGCGGACAAAAAGAATTGGTTTACCTTTTCAACCCTTTATATATTATATATTAATTATCAGATTTATTTTTTTAATTTATTTATATATTGATGATGTTTTTAAAAATCCAACATACTTAGAAATATGATTTTTTAATGGTTAAATAATAGATTTAATAAAATATTTTTACAATTTGATCCATTCTTCATAATTAAGGTGGTAATTTGATATAAAAAGTCTAGTCATTTTTTTTTTTGGTGGATTTTAGAACTTTTAAATACTTAACTATAGAGAATGCAGTAAATATGTAAAGAAACATTGAATCCCATGAACAGGGTTGTTCATTTTTATTTTGGTATATATTAAATGCTTGGTGAAAGGAGAATTGAGAGATTGTGAACCCCACACTTGAGTGGTTTAAGGAGTATTTATATCTCATGGAAAAAAATAATATTGTTTTGTGTATATATTGAGAATTGAGAAATTGTGAATCCCATACGTGGGTAGTTCATAGAGTATTTATATCTCTTGAATCTTGTCTTTTTACTTGAATGAGGGGTTGAAAAGCCATTTCACCCTTATAATACTAATGAGGAACATATATTTATTACATATGCATTAATGAGGGATGAATATCCCTAATATCAACATTAATGAGAGACAAATATCTCTTACATATATATTAATGAGATGAAAATGTGATAGATTTTGAAAGACTTTTATGCACCTATGGATGTAAATGGACTACAAACTCGCTGAGTAAGTCTATGACATTGTATGAAATAAGTAAAATAGTAATTAACTACACAGGGATGAGATGCACACAACCCCTGTACAATTTGAATCTAAGATAAAAAGCCTAGGTTAAACAATACTCAAGACTGGGCTTAGACTACTTGTCAAGATCCAAGGGTGCTAAGAAATGGGCTTGATGTTTAGGCTCAACACTCAATAGGTTGTGCCTCTAAAATTGAACTCGGGTCGCGAGCCTAGGCCCAAACCTATTTCTAGACCCCTCTAAGGTCAGGGTCCAATATACCATTAAACAATTTTATTGACGGATGAATTTTGTTGGTGTAAGACACACAATTCATCGGTAATATTTTTATTGACAGCATCACTGAAGGAATATGTCTGTCAAAATATTGATCATCGATAATTCCCATTTCTGTTGCTATTTCTGTTAGGAAAAAAAAACATTGACTGTCTTACAGATGATGGAAGCGTGCCAAAAAAAATTTCCCCCCTACAACTTTACCGACAAACTTATTTCATCTTATTTCCAACAGTAAATCGCTGATGGCCAGTCTATTAGTAATTATAGTATGAGCAGTAAATATTTCAGAATTCTCAAAAAAATACCAATAGACTTTATCAGTCGGTAATGTCAACGGTAACTCATCGGTGGAACGTATCCATGAGTGATTGTGGCATAGGCAATAAATTTTTTTCAACTCTATCTAATACTGACAGACCTAATCTGCCTGTAAGGTTATCAATATTTATTTAAAATATTTAAAAAGATTATTTAGAATAAATATTTTTTTCAAATATTATATTGATTAATAGTAAAAAAACTAATTAACCAAATAAAATTGTATTAAACATTAAAAATATAAAAATAATATTAAATAATATTCATCCAAATATTTATTACAAATTTAATATATTTCAAAAACAAAATTAAACTAGAATAATGGTGGAACTGGAGGAGGAGGAGGTTTGTTGTTCCCGAGACTGTACGACAAAAAAAAGGTTGCATATGTATCATCAGCTATCCTTGATATAATGTCTATGATCATTTGACAAAGCTGTTCATAATCCATCAAGAGTCATTCATATTGTTGTTTCAAGACCATGAACTCTTCAGACTAGGTGCTAGATACTGATGGAGAACTTCCAATGGTTGAGACACTATGGGTCACCCGTAAGTTTTCGGCCGTAATGTTGGAGAGCTCATAGACCTAATTTTTATCAGATCCACTAAACTATCCTATATCCATCCAAAAAATTGGATTTAAATCCGGATGGATCGAAGGATCATCCCCATATCTATCCCTCAATTGACTATTATAGGTCATTTGATTTTTTTTTAAATCATCATATTCAATTCAAGAAAATAATAGCTTATAAAAAAAATATTATTGAACAAACATACAATGAAGTGTTGAGCACAGTTGTCCACGAACTGTTGCACCCCTTTTTGGCAGTCTTGACTCTGTACGTGCATCTCTACAAACAACTTAATTGGGCTTAACTCATGTCCAAGAGATATAGCCTATAAGGGAAAAAGAGGTTACAAGTTAAATATATTTATAAGTAATAACAAATTAAGTAACGATATATTTTATTTAAATTAATCTTACCATTCACTTCGCATGTGCATTGAACGAAATGGAGCTGTCAATGTGTGGTCATTGAACCATGAATTTATCTGTTCTGATTATTGGCACTGGACTGTGAGCGTTGTGCGAACCGCTCAAACATCACATGCTTAATATATTATGTCCATATATCCTCCAAGTTGAATGGCGGTTTGAATTCCTGCCAAACCGCCACTTCATTCCAACCTTCTAGATCGTTATCTCTGCCATATCTTTTTGCTTTTTTTATGTGTCATACCAAAAATCATGTAACCTACTTCCATAGTAACAAATTAGAATTTATAGCATAAAATTATAAAACAAAAAATTATATTATTTTTTATGGTACCTAATTAGTACTTAAAAGTGCATTTCTATCAAGAATTTATATCATTATTTTGTACTTGAAGCATTAATAACTCTTTAACTAAATTATGTTTTATAATAACATATTTAATAATATAAGATACCTTTAATTTATGATAATTATTCATTTTAAATACAGACCTATCATATAAATAAAAGAATTGATCGATGAGTTTAAGAACTAAAATTGAAAGGACAAAGAGATGGCCAAACATAAAAAAGAGATGCTAGTGCAATCCAAACTGGAATAGTGTTCGGTAATTGGGTCATATTTGAAGCTTTAGTCTTGGATTTGATTCTACTTTATATGGATGGAAAGGTAAGACATAGGCTTACAACTTTCATGTGGAGGTCTAGTTTTAATAAAACTATTTTTAAGTTTAAATTGTAGCAGCAACAAAGAAGTCTGAATCTGTCCTGCAACCCGAATACGGTTCAGTGTTTGGCCCATATATAGAGTTCTAGAAGTTCAAATGACCTTAATTGTTTTTTCCTAGAAAGTTGAGACAATTTCCTTGAAATTTTATATTTTTTAGTGATTCCAATTCTAACATTATCAAGGATATTTTGGGCAAACAATGGAAGATAAGGATTGTCACCAAGTCAAGAGTTAACCATCCACTCATCATTTAGTCATCAAATCAATAGTTTCTAATTTTGGCCTATAAAAGGAGGCATTTGCCATGCATTTAAGCATCTTGATTTCAAGATCAAGATCATACTCTTGCTTTCTCTCTTTGTATTTTTGTAATGCTTAAATTTTGCTTTTATTAATATCAAGTTTATGCCTTTCATTTCCTTTTCTTTACTTAGTTAACTTTTATCTTATTTATGTTCTTATCTTGTTTATTTATGTTTCTCTCTTTTATTATGTTTAGCTAAGTTTATTATGTATAGGTGAAAATGTTACACTAATGGTGTAAGAATAAATATAGTGTAAACTCAACATGGACTTTAATGTTTAATACTAACATGTTTTGTATTTGTTATCTTGTTCACTCTTTAATACTTTGCTTGTTAAATGACAAATTTAGATTTATTTGTATAACACTTGGTACAACAAATGCTTGACAATTTCATAGCTCGTATTGTATGGTATAATTGACGCCTAAGATGTAAAAGGAACTTGATTTGTTGTTAACATAAGTTATAATCATGAATGTCTAACAACATTTACAAGTATTAGCATTAATCGAATAAGATAACTAATATAATCATGTTAACAATTTATAATCTGATTGAAACCTTCTTTGTGTGTGGTTTTCAATTGAATGATAAGAGTTTATACTATACTTGTTTGACATAC